ATATTTCATTTTAATATGTACAAGTATATCTTTATTTGCGAAATCAAAAAAATATAAAAAAGATTTATTTATATCATTCATAAATATTCCTATATATCTTCTTATTTCCTTCCATATTCAAATTATGAGTTTATTAAATTAGATTATTTTTATATGAACTTGAATGATAATTGATAGTATAAATAAAAGTATTAAATTAAATTGAAATTTTCTTTATATTTATATTTATCAAGATTTAAATTATAATTTATATTTAAAATAAAAAATGAATATCATATTAATCAAAATAAATTCAAAGTTTTAACGTATGAAATTTCAATTAATAAATATTAATTTGAATCAAAGAATATATATATATATATATACAAGTATAGAATTTATAATCACGCCTGCGCTTAGAAAATCGACCTCTCGAACCATTGATGTAACCGCAAGCACGAAATATGCGCAAGCGTATTATCCACGGGGAATCCATTATCACCACAGTAATTTTATCGGGCGCGTACAGTTCGAGATGGATCGTGCAAAAACTTTACATCGAACTTGGGCTATGAACCGCTAACCAAGTCGTGTCGCATCGTTCGTTATAATCAAGATTGAAACATTCATTCGTATATATAAAAGAACGTAAAAAGTAACCGCGCGATCATAGGACGGCCATTCTCGACTAACGAGTGTACACGATAGGCACGTGGACGGTACGAGTTTACGAATCCTCCGGAATTTTTCTTTGCCAGTGTTAACATGTCGTTTGACGCGCAAAAACGTGATTTTTCATCGAATCAAAATTTATAAACGATATACAATGAGTGTGACAAGTGCTAAGAATTGTTATATTGAAATATTCTTCGATTTTTGTTTGTACGGTAATTATTAATCTGCCGCGTATGTTGTGTTATCGACGGTGGTAATCGAATTAAATTTCCATTGAATTTTTAAAACTCATAAAAAATATCGATAAAAATATCGATGATATTATCGAATAAATAATAATTTTGAGATTGTTAAAAATTGAAAATGAAAGCGAAAATTTATATTTTATATTCAATTGTATTTAATTATTGGATTAATTTCATTAATCTTTTGATTGATAAATATTTTGAGGGATTAATATTAGATGTTATCGTAATATCTTTTGAAACATAATAATAATTATGTTTCTCTTTTTAATGTTTTTCAATTATAAAATTAAAGATGTTTCAAATATGTTTGTAGGATAATTATCGATCTTATGACATCGAAATTCGAATACATTTTATTGCAATAAATAAATTTTTGAAATCGACTCCTAACAATGGGCGATAGAGAACACAATAGAAACATTTTCAGTTATGAAACACTAATTCACGCAATATCTGGTGCTGCTGTAAGTTTAAAAAAAAAAATAACAAAACAAGTTTTAAAAAAATTGGAAAACTTATTAATGATTCATAATTAATTTTTAACATTTTCAGGGTGGTGTCGTTGCCATGGCAATGTTCTTCCCTCTAGATACTGTACGAAGCAGATTACAATGTAAGTTATATCAAATCATTACATTTTTTTATATATTTATTTTACGTATAAATATTATTATAAATATATAAAAAAAAATTCTGTAATAAAAATGAAATATACATTTTCCATATACATTAAATAAATATTATTCAAAATAATCAATAACTAAAAATGATAGATTAGAATACTTACAAGTGTTTGTGGTATAAAAAATTAGATTAACTTTCGTGTCGTCAATTGATCATATACAAAATACATTATGTAAAAAATATATTTATACTTTGTTATGAAATATAAGCACTTTATCTTAAGTTGATTACAATTAGTAGTTTAAAAATCAATATTTTTCTTTTTTTGCAGTGGAAGAAGATAGAAAATCGAAAAGTACATTGGCAACAATACGCGATCTCGTCAAAAAAGAAGGACCGTGAGTTTTTTTTTATTTTACAACGTATATACATTTCAATTGTTAAAATAATATATTGCATCTATATTAAATATCAAAATTTATATTCTTTGCACAGAGAAACTTTATATAGAGGAATTATACCTGTTCTTCAGAGTTTGTGTGCCAGTAATTTCGTTTACTTCTATACATTCCACGGTTTAAAAATGCTTAAATCGCAAAGAAAGCAATCGGCTGGAAATGATTTACTTCTTGCATCAATCGCAGGTAAATATGTAACAAAAAAATAATTATTATTTTGAGATTCTGTTAGTTAAAAATTATTATTTTTAGGCGCAATTAATGTTCTAACAACGACACCATTATGGGTGGTAAATACTAGATTGAAAATGAGAGGTATCGATCATACGCCGGAAAGAAATAACAATAACAAATATAATACATTATATGGTAAGTTTTAGAATTACGTAGATGAATAAATCAACATCGGTAAAATAAAAAAATCGGTAATAGCAAATATGTAGAAGCTTATCATATGATTAAGTAAAGTGCAATGTCTAACTCTGACGTACAAAAAATAAATATCGGAATTCATTTTCATAAATATGAATTTTATCTATGAAAATATTCTACTTGAAATAAATTAATAATTTTACGCGTATTATATATTTAGCTGGCCTTATACATATATGGAAATACGAAGGAATAAAAAGTCTTTGGGCAGGGACTTTGGCAAGCTTAATGTTAATTATAAATCCAGCAATTCAATTCATGACTTACGAGGCTATTAAGAGAAAAATTTGCATGTCTCTAAATGATTCACAACCATCTGCATGGATTTTCTTTGTTATTGGTGCCGTAGCCAAAGCGGTAGCAACCATATTAACTTATCCATTGCAATTAGTTCAAACAAAACTTAGAGTGCGTATTATATAATTTTTTAAATCCTGATAAATCATTAACTTTTATAAATATTATTATTTATACGGTATAATTTTAATTTTAGCATGGTTATAAATATCCAAATCTACCACCAAACGCTGGCATTTTAGAAATTCTATTTTACATATTAAAGTAAGTAATAAATTTTATTATAAATATACATTTATATTTAATGTTATATTTGAATTGTTATTTACAGAAAACAAGGAATAATAGGATTGTACAAAGGAATGGAAGCCAAATTATTGCAAACTATTCTCACGGCGGCATTAATGTTTTTGACTTATGAAAAAATTTCAAGATTTGTTTTTCACATTCTTTTGCATAAACCGATATTAAGATAATAAATTTTCATACATCGAACAATGTTAACCACTAATGTTAATATTGTTCTCCGTATAAATTTCCGCTTATTATAAATAACATATAAAATGTGTAATGCATAGATTACGATAAAGTTACTTATTTTAAAATTAAAACTTATTATATATAGAAAATACCGAGAAAACATTTTTTTAGATACATTTTTTAGAAAACATTTTTTCATAGTAAATGAGAATAAAATCTATAGAAAAATTTAAATTGTATCATATATCTTTCAAGATTTATCTTATTACTAATTCATTTACATAGCGATTAACGAGTTGGCATTGGAATGTCATAAAATAGGTGCTCTCTTGTTTAACCACAAGTCTCAAATCACGTAACAGGAAAAATATCCATCAAACTTTATCCGTATATCCGGAAAATGTGAACTCAAGTACCGAGAATACTGGCGAATCTCAAGAAAACGCGCTTTCGGTTTCAGTCGCATTTTCGTCGTCAATCCAGTCACTCCATATCGCCTGTGTCGCAGACGCGAAAAATAGAGTCAAAATGGGGCGATAAACAAGCCGAACTCATAAATCCTATCAATCAGAATAGTTTAACATTGAAAAGGATTGAACAAAAATCTACAAAGGCGATTTTAAAATTCTGGAACAGACTGAAGCCTCGCAAAAGCGCGAGGAAGAAAATAGAACCTCCTGCGAATAAACCATTAGCTTCTGTGTAGGTTAAAATGTTTGATGAAATGTTCACTTCACAAATGGTTCTCAAAAATTATATTTATAAAAATATAACAATGATAAAGTGTTAATTTATTACAGATGGAACTTTAATAATGTTGAAAAAAGAATGAGCGCTAGATCACAACGTGGGAATCACGACACTTCGGCCACCAAACGACTTCATAGCCCGCGTGTCAATGCAAAAAATCGTGGACCAAGACCTCATATAACGTATGATTACGATGCTGCGATCAGTCAACCGGATGTACCGAGTTTGATAGATTATAAGAAACTCGGTCGTGGTGCGATGGTTAGTGAAGTCCTGCTTAAAAAGAGAACTTTAAAAAAACGAATTAAGCCAAGAAAGAATTTTCAGAGAAGATCACAGGAATTCAAAACGAAATCGTTGATCCAAAAAAAAGGTATACGATTGCCTGGTACTAAAACCGGGAATCCAGCAAACAAAACGGTTGGATCTTCTAATAATCTCGAGAAAGATAACGTCGATGAAAAAGAGGATATTACCAATGACACCATTGAGGATTTGTCAAACATATTGAAGGTTCGTACTTTTTCTTTAAAATTTTTATTTAAAATTTCGTTTTTGAACAGATGACGATTTGTAAAATTGATTAATCATTTATATATCATGTATTTCTTTATTTTTAATTTAAATTTAATTTTTTTTTCAAATACTTATCTAGAGGGCTAAAATCGTTTTATTTTATTGTAATGAAATAGAATTTCATTATCTTTAGAAGAACTTATTACTAATGAATGATAAAATTATTTCGTACAAGGATACAACGATAGAGGCGACCGAGAATGATAACGATAGTGAAATCATAGAGGAGAAAATAAAAAATCCAAAATTAGATGATTTCGAATGTGTTGCAACAAAGTCACCAATTACAGTCAAGTGTAGTAAAATTCCTCGCGCGAAAATTACTATTTTTCCGGCTCATACGCTTCACGAATCTCACGCGGTAATATATTTTAATTATAAATAAAAGTCAGTTAATGTATATAATATAATGAATTAACATAAACAGCTTGAACAATAATTATTATTGAACAATAAATAATTATTTACACGATAGGCCAAGTTGAAAATAAAGGAATCTCTTCACTTGAAACATCCGACGACTGGTATCGACATGTTAGTTATGCAAAAATAAGATAAGAATAATTATATTGTTAATATCGCTAAAAATTTATCATAACACAATCAATTTAAAGTATTGAGATCACGGACAACGAGATGAAAAAAGGATGCTGTAAAGAAGAAAGTAAAAAAGATGTGGTTCGTTTTGACTGCGAAATACCAAAAGAAACAAAGTACGCGTGATAAACATAGAAATCTATTTAAAAAAAAAAGAAAAGATACATTAATGTATTCAGGAGCATTGCATTTTATTCAGAATAGTTTGGAACAAAGATGAGACTTCGACGTTAGAGGCGGATGAAGAGTGTCATGGAATGACGTCGACCGACGAATCCCCTCTTTTTAGCAGCATCGATGATCCCCGTGTTTTAACGATCTTACGAAGTTTGAAACTAAACTGTCCTTGTAGATCATGTACCGAACAAACTCTGCCTTTGAGCATTCGACAAGAAGATGACAGCGATTTAAAGAGTTCATCTCCGGAAGAAATTAGAAAGAAAAAATGGTTGAGATAATATTTACTTGAAACTGTAAGAGTAAATGAATGTTATAATGATTGCACATGATTATCAACAGGTCGTTGAAACATCGAAAATATGTTTATACAAGTACCGAAGATATGGATGTTTCATCTGATTGTAGTAAAAAAGGAAGGAAAATTCGATATAAATCGAAGAATATTCTGAATCAGCGTATTAAAGCAAGTTCGATAATACACACAACTCCGAAAATTTCTCATCGTCGACGAACAAGTTTTTCCTTTTTTAACACTCTTTTTGATATTGTTTTTTGGCCTTATCTATTTCTGAAAACAAATCGGTGAAAGCTTATTTTTTTATTAAAAAAAAAAAAAAATCATGTTTATTAAGAACATATTGTTAACAATTAACAATGATATTGTTAACAAGTTTCTAAAAATGAATTTTTATAATGATTTCTTTAAATATTTCTCTTTGAAAGTATACTTAAAGTTAAAACCTCTGAATTTATCATAATTTATGTACAATATATATACATGCATCGTTTTTTATGAACTTATATCGAAAATTATATATTATTAATTGATAATATATTTCATTCTTCATATAGAGTTTATAGAACATTTTAGAAAATATTTAATTAATGTATATGTTTAAGAAAATATAATTTTTAATTATACATAGTATAAAATACAAATCAATACAGTATAATTTGGGGTCTCACCTCAAATATTCATTATTTACATAAATTTTTTATGATAAAATACAATGATTATGTTTTACGATAAAATAAAAATTAATTTCAAAAAAGAATTAATAAACGATAAAAAGATAAAAAAAAAATATAAATATTCTCCATAATTTTATAATACACTGATTGCTGAAAATATAAAATATACGAAATATCAATATTCTTTATCAAATCCCTTTCAATTGACCTACCTTTCTTCGTAGGTGTTGATATACTTCTATGAAGTTTCTTCGAAAAAAATGACAAAGTTAATCTGTCATAAAGATTGTCGATTTCATTTACCGTGTTTTCTAAAATTCTGGTAAGAGCCTTTTCGCTTTGTACTAAAGCTTTATCGGCAATCAAAGATAAATGCAGATAACCTCGATATGTTAATAATGAACATCCAATTCCTGTATAACTTCTAAAAATGATATAATGATAAAAAAAAAAACTAAACATTTACAATCATTGAAATATTTTTGCTAAAATATTAAATAAAGAAGAAGTAAATAATATGTAATAAAAAAAATATATAAAGTATAAGAAAGTTACCTGTTTGGTATCCAAAAAACGATATTTTTTAAAGGATGTCCCAAAAGTTTCACTTCTTGAGGACCAACTAAATTGCTAAACACCATAGTGCTATGACTTTTTAAGATTGGTCGTAAAAACTTGTCGGGCAGCATAGCTGAGAGATACTTCATCACTAAGAAATTCACTGTGTAATCAAGACTTTTTCTAAGCACATCATTCGCTTTTCTAATATCTTGAAGGCGTTCTAGAATTTGAGAATTCTCTCGTGGATCTGCAAGCTGTTTACCCTTTATTTGTGAAATGCAGAGGGGCAATATACCGACTGAAATATTATTTTGCAGAGGAAAGTTCTCGCTCCATTCTTCGATTTTCATCGGTAAAACAACGCTTAATTTTGTTGGAACGAATTCGTTTATCTGTGTGTAAAAATGAAATTAAAAAAGAAGACATTTGCAATAAAATTTAAATGCAAATAAAAAATATATAATTACTTACATTAAGGAAATATTTGTGTAAACTAACTGATAAAGCAGCTAATAGTACATCTCCAAATCTAGCACCAGTGATACTTCTTATATTTTGTATTTTTGTAAACAATTTTTGATTACAGGCATTTTTGAAATCGTCTTCAAGCCAGTAAGAACAAATTTTTCGCCTGATAATTCTGCTCCATGGAGTGCGCTAAAGTAAAACATTTAACATTCTTAATTCTGAAAAATTGATACTATGAAAAAAAGAATTAAAAAGTGGACGAACAAACCTTTTGTCCATGCTACGAAAAGCTTGTTGAATCAGGCAACCAGGAAGATTTATAATAACTTTCGCCATTTTTAAACCGCTCTGTATCTTTTTACAAATCATTTCCGAGAAGAAAACTTTTAATCTGTCTTGTTCTCTTCTTAGAAACATTTTTATTTCGCATTTCAAGTCTTCTAAAGTAACATCTTGTAAATACTTTAACCATCTATTAAAATGTTTCCATAATAATAGAAAAAAATATGAGAACATCGTAAAATGAATAAATGGCATCGACGCCGACATGATTCTCTTTTGAAACGAATTATTGTCCAAACTATTCTCTCCATTCGTAGGATTCATCAAAGATACTATTACATTCTGCTTTTTAGTTTTCTCGTTCTTCATTTTCAAACTGCTATCCAGCTGCAAGAATGTTTCCGGAACTGGTTCCTTATCAATAATAACATCTCTAAAGAATTTTAGAAGAGCCATACCATCGCCTAAAGAATGATGGACACGAAATAAAATGGGAATCTTGATTTTATTCGTCAAACGTTCCTCCATTCGTCGAAGATAATGATGACTTAATCTGGGGCAACATTTTCCAATTAGGATCTCCCAGGATGCTGTGTGATTCTCCGGTAAAGGCTGATTGCAAATATTCCATAAAACTTTTTTCAGATGACTATTGTAAATATTATCACAGGATCCGTCGCAATTCGTGCGTTCGTACTCCAACCATCTGATACGTTCTCTCAGATCGATCTCTTCACTTCTCTCCCAGAAATAATAGCCAAATTTTCTCTTTCTCTTATACAATAACTTTTCAAAAGACGAGCATACTATGCGATTCTTCACCAAATCGCGAAAACTCTCCAGGAAATTGATGTTCGAGTGACGAGCATCTTTTTCTAAAATCATTAGGATATTATTCACAGAAAGTGCCGATGATTGTTCTACGGCCCAAACGCAATCCATCCCATCAAGGAGACCCACGAATTTATCCTTTAATTGTATTCTTAAAATGATCTCTATGACACAGCGACATAGATACGAACATATTAATAGTAGAATAACCAATGGAGAGAAAAGAAAAGTATAAAACGCGAAAAATGTTTGATACACTTCCGACATGGCGTTTTATTAACTTTACATTTGTTGATTCTTTTGATTCTTTTGATTCAAAATTAAGAAATATCGTTTAGATTCCTTCTGTTTTTAATCATACATATTGATCACACCTGTAAAAATGAAATGAAGATAAACAAAAAGCGAATTGTCAAATATTTATTAATGTAATTATTTATGAGAAATTAACTTACATGATGATTAATAACGATCAAATTATCCTGAATTTTCTTAGTGCTGGTCAGCACCAAGTAAGAGTAGTCTGAATAGAATCGTTGCTTTTATAGGGAAGCACTTGCCATCGATCGTCGTTAACTTGATTTAACATAACTCTTTTATCCGGTTATTACCTTTAGTTGCATAATTCCGAATTCCTTAAACATTGCCCTTGTATTGGCAGACACGACCTATATGATCTTCTTCTTAACCGGCTAGAATTCTGCAACTATATGGTTTTACTAGTCTTATTTTCCTAAGATTGAAACATGAAGTTTCTTTCTTTTTTTAATCGTATTAAATGAACAAAACTTACATCTTAAATAAAGTCAATTACTCGAAAGAAATAGTGCTGCTATTTTCACTTGTTTTGCATCCATGTCTAGCTTTCTGAAGAAGAAGTCTTAAAAAAGAATTTTCACGAGCCAAACGATCATTACGTCGAGTTTCCTGAACTAATAATACATCTTTGTCAGGTATCATAGATATTTCAGAATTTTTTTTTAAAGTTTCACTTCTTGCTTTTTTCAATGCATCCTAATATATAATTATTCTGTAATTACAAATATGAATATTTCCTATTTAATATTTATTCTTTCAATTATTTATAAACCTGCAACGTTTCGATGGAGCCACGTAACAAAATTTCTTGTTCATCTTTCCTCTTTTTCAAGAACAAGTATTTTTTACAAATATTTTCCACAGCTTCGTTTCGTTCGACAAGTCTTTCACCAAGTGTTAATAATCTTTGTTGAAGATTATTGATCTACAATTGAGCGATTTTAAGAATTATAAAAAATTGATATAAAAAAAACTGTAAAACTTTTTAAAACGTATTAAAAGATTACCTCATATGTTTTTTCTTTAAGAAAAGAATTCTGAGAGTTGAGCTCTTGTTTTAATTGTTCGTTCTGCGTTAATAAAGCATCATATCTAGGGAGTTTAACATCAGTGTCTTTTTAAGAACATGATACATTAATTTGCAAATATATACTAATTAAAAATACTTTTGATGCCATGTTCTTTGCACTTCCTTCTTCAGAGATTCTGGTAGTACAATGTCGTTTCCAAGACGAATATCCGTAACACTCTGTCGAAATAAATCTAAAAATGTTATGTTATTTATATTATAATCGTTATTTTAGTTACATTATTTGCTACATTATTTTTTATAATTTAAATATTCTTACATACTGAGCATATTTTTATTGCGTTTATTCGCTTTTCGAAGATCATCCATTATTATTTTATTTTTTGTTTTCAAATTTGAATATCGTAACCATTGTTCCGCTTCTAAATTACGTGTAATCATGAGACTTTCCTCCAAAGATTTCATAGTATCGAGAATATTATGTATTTTTATAATATATCCTTCTAATGGAATTATTTTTTGTATACGAGAACCGTCCATATGTTTTTTTAAATTATTGTTTTATGTAACACGAATTAATTGAACATCGACATGAATATCGTGTATTTACTCTTATTTTCGGAATGAACTTTCAATTATCAAAAATTATCATAATAATCATCAAATTCTATAGTTTCTATTTCTTTTTTTTTTTATTAAATTATTTTAATACAATTTAATAAATTTTTATTAGATTTAAATAATTACATTATAATTCAATCTTAACTTTACTAACAAGTAAAAATGCACAGAAAAAATATATATATATCTTATATCGATCATCACAGACATAAATTATTAATACATTACAAAACGTATTTAATACGTTAATTTTTACAATTCAAGAAATATAAATTATTAATAGAACAAAAAATAACTTTTGCACTTATACAAATGAAGTTGTAAATGTACGAAAATGTACAAAAAGTATTCATTATCTAGACATTGGACATGGTTCTGATGCGTACTGTTTGAACTTTTCATGAATACTTCTCAAATGATCTCGACAACAATTTCTGATATCCTCTAATATACTAAGTAAAGAATTCCTTGAATTGCTATTTAAAGCTTCGTTGAAACGTTCCAAAAGTGCACGATCTATTTGCGATACTCCATCCAAATCTGAAGCCATTTCTTGTACTTGCTTGACATTTTCGATTAACGATTCCAACAAGGGTTCCTTCTTCGATTGTCTAGAAATCGATTTTTTATTTTTATCGACTAACTGTTTTATTGATTAAGAAAAGTTTCCTTCTCTCTGAAGGTAACATTTTAAAAGTATATTAAAAAATATATTTATTCGAAAAAACTAAGAAAAATAATTTCAAAAAATAATAATATATATTTTTTAAAAAATTACTATTATATTATATTAAAAGAAAATTAATAATTACTTACAGAAACTTTTGTTCACGTTCGATGATCTCAAAACATATTTCGAATAGCGCCAAACACTCAAGATTGTCTCTGAGATCACATTGTTCTAAAAACTTTTTAAAAATCTCTCTTCCACGTGGATGATTCAACGTTTTATTTATATTATCTGTAATCTGATCTAATTCATCAATACTAAGACCAGAAGTACACTTTCCGATGCAACCGATTGTTCGTTTCGATAAAGAGGTCTGCATATTTTGTTCCACAGGTGTACCTACTTTTTCATTAGAAATAATTAAACACGTTTTTTTATGGTTGATCCATTTGTAGTTCGAAATAATTGAAGCATTCATTATATAATTTATATATATAATAGTTCGAATGTATTTTATATACTTGTGAATATGAAAAATATTTTGTTAAACTTTCTGAATATGTAATTAAATTGACAATGCCATTTATAAAAAATAAAATAAAAATAAAATTAATAAAATATAACAATTCTTTTAATATACAAATTATGTAAATATTTCCAATTTAAAATTAAATAATTTATTAATTAATTGTATTATAATAATAATTGTATTAATTTGATTCAATACTATATATAATGATAATAAACAAAACTGTACATTTTATCGAATGTATAACGATAAACCACAAATATTCTTATCTAAACTGACGTCATATATAACTATCATATATTAAAAAAAAATTCCAAAAGACTAGAAAGAAAATTAAAAACAATAGACTATGGCTACATTATTTTACATTATTTTTAACTAGTTTATATTTCTACAATAAATAATTGTAATTCATAAATAATATGTTTAAACAATTTTATAGTTTCAATTCACTATTACAAATTTTTGAACGTTTATTTATCATATATATTTACTACTTATATAATGGTATTAATAGGAAATTAATTATTAGTTTAATTTTCACTTTTCGAAAACCACGTGAACATAATAGTTACATATAGGTATATAAACTTGGTCGAGAATAATATTGCTTAGAAATTCAAACAGAAAAGTATTGATCGCAATTTCAACGAAACCGGATTTACAGTGGCTGATTGTCTTAATCGATTACTTGTCTTAGAGAATAAAATAGAGAATGAAAGAAACGAATGAAGTTTTAACTGATATTCATAAGTTATGAATTATAACCTTTCATAACCAAATTGTTCATTCCTTTTTTAAAACACTTTTTATTAATTGTATAAACACTTTATACTAATTATATTTCATATTTATTTGTAAACTAACGTTTTTTAAAAGTTAATATATCACAGATATCTCACTCTAAGCATTTAAAAACTTGAATATTTACAAAATTAAAATAATTATTACCTAATTTGATTGAATTTTTATTTTGTATTATAACTACGCACAACACTAATTCGAAACACCAATGATTCACATTATACATACATATTATTTCTGATAACAAATAAGACAAAAATCTACCCCACTTACTTCTACAATGTCACGGCATAGACTGACGTAACGTATACTTGCACGCACTGAAAATATATATATAGCTAAAACAAAACTATATAAATACATCTAGCAAAAAAATATATATAAAATATTATAAAAATAATATTTATGAACGGCAGAAATTTTTATATTTATATTTAAATGTCTTTAATTTTTATATTTATATCTTTTTTTTCAACAAAAATATCTAATTATTTTTTTTTATCTGATAATAAATCTACATTTATAATTAAATTTTATATAATTTGTTTATTGTTAAGGTAAAAATCATGTTTGAAAAAGCATATTATGAAATTTACGAAAAATTCCAATGTTACTGACGTGTAATTGAATTTGTCTAACATACTAGAAATCGCCTTTGTTATTCAAAGCATCATCTCTGAAACAACTGTTTATTCTGAATGCGAAGTACATACTTGGCGAAACGACAATAAATATACAAAGACTTAAAAGTCTATAAAAATTATTTTAACTAGTCTTTTATTTTAGTTATTTATTCTAATATCTACATTAATCAGTAGTTTTTTTCAATAAATGATTGCATTATTTTAATCGATATCAATTTAATGATTCATTAATTAATGAAATAAATATATCTTAAATATATATTAATATAAGTAATACTTATTTTTATTTATTTTAATTTAGTTGTTTATGAATTATATTTTAAAATTACCGCGGAAAAATACGCGGGAAAAAATATACATATATATATATTTTCCCGCGCATTTACTATAAGAACCGTTACAATAACAATATGTAATCTTATGTTCTTATTAGATATATTTGATATTTCGACAATTGATATTAATATTAATCAGTAATAGGATAATGGAATAATATTCATATACGACCAATTTTGTATTTCAAAAATCAACAATTCAACAAAATTATACGTTTTTGTCACAAACGTCATGTGTGCAATAACATAAAAAAACACTTTCTATTTCAAAGAATGCAACTGAGAAATACGTTGCATGTCATGATTTTGGACATAATTATTAGAATTATTTAGAATTGTTATTAGAATTTTCTTTGTTTAATATGTGTTGGCTAATTACGTGCACGACGATTTTGTCAGTAGATTTAATTAAAACGTAACTTAAATAGGATTAACTTAAAAATTTCGATATTATATCCATATAAAAGATTCTAAGATATATAAATAAATATAAATTATGGATTCTGAATTTCCTGATCCTGATGAAGAATTTGATTTAATTCATGAGAATGATTATGAAGTTTTAAAGGAAATTGAAGGTATAACCTTGTCATAATTCTTTATAAACTTGTATGAATGATTAAAAAATTTTTTATTAAGTTATTAAGTTATTAAGTACATTGCTTTAATAATTCTGTTTTCTTTATTATTTTACAATAAATCCTTTGTTATTTCTTGTTTATTATTGATATTTTATAATTAACTCGCGAAATA